GGTTGATTCTATGTTTCAGGTCGATTCTTATCTCCAGTAGCCCGCGGCTAACGGCGGTTCTGTCATCTCTGATTGGCAGTTGGGCGACCTTTGTGACCTCTGGTGACATGACCCCGGACATCGTTTCAGCTTAGCCTGCTCGCCGCTGGCTGGGAGGGAGTAGGGCAATTATAGACGACCTCACCGTCCTGTGTGTTCTGAGCTTTCAACTGTTCTATATACTACCTCACCGTCCTGTGTGTTCTGAGCTTTCAACTGTTCTATAGAATATACTACCACACCGTCCTGTGTGTTCTGAGCTTTCAACTGTTCTATATACTACCTCACCGTCCTGTGTGTTCTGAGCTTTCAACTGTTCTATATACTACCTCACCGTCCTGTGTGTTCTGAGCTTTCAACTGTTCTATATACTACCACACCTTCCTGTGTGTTCTGAGCTTTCAACTGTTCTATATACTACCACACCGCTTGTGTGTTCTGAGCTTTCAAATGTTCTATATACTACCACACCGTCCTGTGTGTTCTGAGCTTTCAAATGTTCTATATACTACCTCACCGTCCTGTGTGTTCTGAGCTTTCAAATGTTCTATATACTACCACACCGTCCTGTGTGTTCTGAGCTTTCAAATGTTCTATATACTACCACTGGCACCGCTTGTGTCTTCTAACCCGTCAACTGTTCTATATACTACGACGCACACCGTCCTGTGTGTTCTAACCCTTTAACTGTTCTATATATTATACTACCTCACCGTGCTGTGTGTTCTGAGCTTTCAACTGTTCTATATACTATCATACTGTCCTGTGTCTTCTAACCCTTCAACTGTTCTATATACTACCTCAGCGTCCTGTGTGTTCTAACCCGTCAACTGTTCTATATACTACCACCCACACCGTCCTGTGTGTTCTAACCACTGTTCTATATACTACCTCAGCGTCCTGTGTGTTCTAACCCTTCAACTGTTCTATATACTACCACACCGTTCTGTGTGTTCTGAGCTTTCAACTGTTCTATATACTACCTCACCGCCCTGTGTGTTCTATTAAACCCTTCAACTGTTCTATATACTACCACACCGTCCTGTGTTCTGAGCTTTCAACTGTTCTATATACTACCTCAACGTCCTGTGTGTTCTAACCCTTCAACTGTTCTATATACTACCTCACCGTCCTGTGTGTTCTAAACCCTTCAACTGTTCTACATACTACCTCACCGTCCTGTGTGTTCTAAACCCTTCAACTGTTCTACATACTACC